ATAGTTGCTTAGACTTGCAGCTGAGAGGCCGGCAAGTGAGGCGGGGAACGTTGGAGTCTGCAGCAAGCAAGCCTCCCTGCTCGCTTCAGTGCCTGGCTGCCGGCCGCCATCTTGGCTGACAGTTAATTTGCATATACTCACTGATTAGCCAATGAAAAGGGTAGCGGTCGTACGCCAATTACCATGTTTCTCTTTTATTAGTGTAGATATTTGTGTAATTGAAAACTAAGGGCAAATTTTAAATTCATAGTAGTATATAAAAACACAAATCCACCCCTTCCCCCCCCCACATACACTAATTTAATGATATATTTCTTATTCATCATCTAGTTCAGAGCAATTAGAATACCAGCTAAGACACAAAACTTTTACCAAATGTCTTGTGCATACAGTATTGAGCGGGCGAGGTCCTTGGAGGAACTGGATACACAGTTTACTGAAAGGTATTTGTCAAAAAATTTTAAAGGTAATTCCTACCGGCCTTTAAAAGCGAAATTTGAAGACTGACACTAATAATCTACAGCAAAAATAATTTTTAAAAATAAGTATAGTATTTTAAGAGTTAGAACTTTAGAGCAATAATATTATACTAAAGGCAGAGCCATAGATACACAGTTCTTCAAAAACGAGAAATCACATCAACAACGCTTCATCCTTCCTCGGCATCCCAGGTGAGCATGGACTGTAATTTTTCTTATAATTTGCTTGCATCATGCTTTGAGGTAAGATCCTTTGGGACAGAGGAACTGACAAAACCATGCAATCATCTGCTACCCAGACCCTATTTGCGAGGATAAATAAGAGCACCATCTAATCCAGGTAGGTTAGCAATTATATTTTAAAATTGTGTCTTTGACTCCTTGATGTGTAATGACATTGCTACAGTAGCTCAAGATAAAAATTAAAGACTAAATACAATGGACTAGAATAAAAAAGTTTGAAATACATTTTGTAAAATAAAGATAAATAATGTTTTTTTCTGATTGTATTCATTTTGATGGAAGTATCAAGATCATTTATCTAAGTTTGAAATGGACAACAACTAAAGGACCGGAAGGAAGTGAACAGACAACCTAGTTGAATCATTTTTTTTACATATTTAGATGAGTAAGTTGAGTTTCAATATGTTCAAGTGATTTTTCCCCAACTCATGTAGTTAATTAAAGTCAGAACCAGGTCTGGAAGGTAAGGTTGAATAAGCATTACGCATTCATACATTTAGGATTTGTGGAAATCCTACATGTACTTACACTCCATTTTTTTGCATGTTTTCTGCTAAAAACCATCTTTTCCTTAACTATTTCCTTATTGTTTTTTATATTTACCAAGGGAAACATTATCTCCACTACCTCCCCTTAAAGTTTTCAAGTAACAGGGCCTCCTCTCATATGTTATTTTGTATCCAGCACTTAACTCTATTAGATTATTTTAACTCACTATTCTCAATCTGCTTGATTTCCATCTTTCTGGTTTTATACTCTATGCTTTTTGATGGATAACTCTGACCATTATTTGTTATGACTTCAAAACCCAGAAAGATATATAATACATAATCGGCAATCAATTAAGATATTTTAATTCACAAAAAATTGCAAAATTATATACTGACACACACATATATATGCACACACACACACATATATATATATATATATCACCATATAACAACTATCT